TACATGCTGGATTTAGCAACGCCACCTGCACAGGATGGGGATGTGAGCTGCTGTAATTTATCAAGATGTGTCATAATACATAAAGCCAGTTTCAATCTATATCAAACTGGTTTACGCTTTCACACTGGACTCAAATGACACCAGTGTTAATTTCGGCAGCTGTTTTTGATTTAGTCTTTAGATGAAAATGGTTATTAGTTTTAGTCATTTCTATCCTTCGTAGTTTTAGTCTAGTTTTAGTCTAGTTTTAGTCGACGAAAACTCAAAACGTTTTAGTCAACTTTTAGTTGATGAAAAATTACATTTTAGTCAAAATGTGTCTCTATACTCTCTGAACGCTCCGTCCCCGGCAGATCTCTGTGTCCGCTGCAGCATGTCTGTTAGGCCCCGCCCCCCGCACACAGAGAGACACAGGGAGATCGCTCTTCTGGAGTGAAGAAACGTAAGATGCATTTTGACAGACAAGATGGACACTTGGGGGAAAATATGCTGCATTTTGAATGTCCGATAGTCCACCATTAACACCTTAGTCCCGTCTCGTCAACGAAAACTAAATATGCATTTCGTCATAGTTTTCGTTATCAAGAATCTATTTTTAGCTCGTCATCGTCTCGTCTTAGTCATGTAAAAAAGGTCGTTGACGAAGTTAACACTGAATGACAACTATTACGAGAACAGCTGAGGCAATTTGCAAGTTAAACCCAAAGGAGATGGAACACGGCAATTCATGTTCTTGCCTCATTTACACTCCTGAATTACTAGAATAAAGGAATAAAGATAACTGACTATACTGCCTCTTTGTAGTATGTCCCGATATCTAGAATGTAAAGTGCGTTTAGCCAAAATGACTATGTACTTCTGCATTTGCATTATGGAAGCCAGCATGCTATTCTAGCCGTTTGACCAATATATCTTTGCGCAGGGGAAGTATGAGCAAGAGGGTAAGAAGGCCAAATAACACAGCCAGTATAAATAGACGGGGTGAGGAAGAGGACAGAAGTCTGAGAGAGTCTGATGACTGATTCCTCTCTTCCTCACACTTTACAAACGGGAAGTCCAGCCTGTGATGAAAACAGACCGACTCCCTTACGACTCATTAATTCAGATCAAGACACTGGAAACTGTTCCCCGTTGGTCAAAGTTTAACTTTATTTGAATGAAGTGAAATGTTTAGCCAGCTTAAAGGTTTACTTGACCTTTTATGCAAATATGTCTGCAGCCTCAGGTAGAAGCCAAAAGCAAAAATGGTGATCTCATGAATATTAAGGAGAAAAGCAACTTAAAGTATTTAAAACAATTCCTCCTAACTTTCATTTTCACTAATTAGTAGGGCTGTGCATCTTCACTGGTCTCACGATTCGATTATGATTATCCTGTCAACGATTCGATTCAATATCCCGATGCATACCAATGCGTTGCATCCTCAATTTTCTATATTACTACACATGGCTTATTTTTAATCAATGCATACATGCAGTAAATACATATGAACTCTCTTTTTATTATTTAGAAAGTGCTTCAGAAATCAATGACAAATATCTTGACATTAATTTATAAACCAAAATAAATGAATTGTATAGGTCTAGCCTCCCCATATCTGTGTGTGAAGTTGTTCCATCCTTAAAAAACAAAAAAATAATGCTTCTGCAGTCTAGCTGCAGCTTCTAGCAACAGTCTTCTGTTAAAAAAAGGACACTGAATGTCCTGAATGTGGCATCACACACAGGACTTGAGTCTGAACACAGCAGACAACAGGAGTATTTACAATAGCATATACAAACAAAAATAGTGCATGTGGGCGCACACTTACATTCTCTGTCTTACAGTTACATAAATCCCATGAATGTATGAGATTAAGTTAGCTTCATTACGTCTCAGTGATTAAGTGAATAATAAAGTTTCTATCAGGTTACTATCAGCCTGTCACTCATTATTTTCAGAGAGGGGGCGGGGTTTGGAGGAACGGAGAGGAGACGGTGATCGCGGAAGCTTTTTTCCTCCTGCCTTCACAAACTTTACACACGACACATATATATCGTCTGAAAATTGCTAGAGGACATTCATACTCTGCAATCCAAGACTTAATTAAATCCACCAAAAACCTGACATGATTGTAACGCGATTATTTTTGAAAAACATAAATCCCTGTGTCTCTGAGCCGCAGCGACATGGAGTGATTCAGAGCGGGTCCTTCTGCTTTTGGTTCTGGACTGGTGTTCTTGTGTTGGTGGATAAAGCAGACTGCTCCGTGTTTGGTGTTGCTGTGCCGCTGTCACGTCTGTTCCCTGTCTCTGCGTCACCGACCGATTTGATATTAAAGTGACAGAAAAAAAAACGTTATAGTAAAGCCGCGGCCGGAAAATCAGGAAGCAACGTTACTACGCTATAATCGATTATCTTCCGTCACTGCATCGATACCGAATCGTCCACGTCCGCATCGCAATGTATCTTAGAAACGATTATTTTCAACACCCCTAATGGCTACACATCACTACAGGTGCAGTCTGTAAAAATATATATTTTTTGCGGTAAAATGCCCAGATACTAGTGTCATGATCCTGGTGTTATTTTGTTTCCAGTTTTATTTTGAAATGTATTTTTTCCTGTCTTTTCTTCTTACTTCCTGTCTGATTGTCTGATCTTTTTCAACTTTGGTCCTCCAGCTGTGTTTTGTCTTTGTGATTGGTCCTGTGTGTACATATATATTTGTCGTCTTTGTTCCTGTCTGATTCCCTGTGTTCCTGCCTGTGTTCCTCGTGCCCTCAGTGGTCTGCACTCAATTTGTTTGTTTTACCTTGCCCGGTTTTGTTTTATATATACCTGCCTCCCTCTTTTGTTTTGACTGTGTTTGGGTCCAACCTCTTGCCAAACTGGGATGGATTGACTATTTGAAGAATATGATGTAAACTAGTTTGACATAACTTAGTCTGCAGATTATTAGCATAATAGTGGTTCTGCTAATAATATGTATTTGTATTGCATTACTGACTTAGCTGTAGCTCACCCAACAAGCAGCTAGCTTCATTAACCCACATTAAAGATTGGATTAGTTCCAATCATGAACATTAGATGGCAAAATTGCACAGGCTCATTTGCTCTGACTCTGAACACCTGTTAGAAGTATTTGTTTATGTATAGGCACTGAGCATCTGTTGGCATGGGAATCAGTACAAGATAGTTCCAGTGTACACAGGAAAAGTCAACCTGACCAAAGTTAGCAGTTTGTAAATAATGTCACTTTTAAGGTACTTTACTGCTTTTACACATCAAGTTCTACTTTTCTAATCACGAGTCAGCCTATGAAAGGAGTTCAATGACCTCTTTTAGGTCTGAAGAAAATATCTTAATAACATCAGAATTGCCGATTCTACCTCTGATTTTGAAAGATCTTTTCACCGAACTTGAAATGAATGATGAGAAGGCAGTACACAATGTTTGATTATCCCTAAGAGCATTCAGGATCAACGGCTCATTGGGTCTTGATTAAACTTGCTTGAGTTTGCTGTACTTTGTGATTATTTATTTCTGGATTTTCCTGAAACTTGCACCAGTGGCAGATGAAAATGATCCTGCTATGTGGAAACGGTGGTCCGGCTGTGATGGACAGGATGAGTTATAGAGTAGTTACAAACTTGATTGTCTACGGCTATGGCTGTAGTGCAGAACTCTGACGCCCCTGACATCTGATATATCTAGTGTCTGATCACCATGACTAACTGGTCCATAACAGACAGTATTTGTGAGCAGTTACAGTTGCTGAAAAGTCAGCAGTTAGTAGCTACTAGGGTTGGGAACGGAGACTCGGTTCTGACTAAGAACTAAATCCAAAAATGTTGGTTCTGCTTATTGGTTCCTATTGGCGCTCTCTCTTGACTGGTTAGCGCTCTGCAAAGCGAATACATTTGTTTAGTGTTTTGCTGGAATTACAACTGTAATCTTTCATATTAGAAGACAAAAACATGTAAGTAAGACCTGCTGTCTATAGATTCTTTATTAACAATGCACCACTTTTACACACTGCCAGCGGGAATCCTGAATTAAAAATAATATGCTGCCCTGTTTCATACGTTTAATGGAACTCTTTCATGTTGTCCTGTTTATTCTTACAACCATTCAAATGTATAGGTGCCCCATAAAGCCTTGCAGTGGCTCTTCTCTGATATGGTTATGTGTAATGGATGTGGCTTAGGGGATAAATACGTGTCGACCAATCAGAGCCCTTGCACTCAAAATGTCAAAGTGTTCTTGGCAAGATACTTTACCCCAAATTCCTCCTATTGGCATGTTTACTGTTTTGAAATGTATGTTAAGTCGCTTTGGCTGGATTACATGTAATTAAATGTTCTTCTGTACACTTTAAGACCCAATATTACTAGGACCATGATACAGAAATGACCATTTCATATAAAGGAACTCACAAACTAGACACCGCTGACTATCCAGGTAACAATTTGGCCTCAATTAGCAACTTGTACGTACACAGCCCACCATATACCAGATTTCCACCTTGTCTCATTGTGTCCATCACTGATCCATAATTGAATTAGTTTAAAAGAGATAAACAAACAGGGATGAAACTGTCCCCAAGCCCTAACTCTAACCCTGGACCTTGAGTAACTTGTTTTTTCCTGTGATATGCCTTTTGCTTCTTTTCTAAATGTTTAATGTGACTGTTATCCTTAAGCTGCTTTCAGACATTGAGGGGTTGTACTGGCAGCTGATACTGTGTGCCATACATCACAGGCTAATGCTAACTGCAATATTCTCAACATGTAGCTACATCTAGAAAGATGAAAGGAATGACACAATTAATGTCATTGCACGTGCACGTTTTTCTAACTTTATTGTTCCTGAATCACACTTTGAAGATGTTTTCTCCACTCCATTCAGTGTGAAACGGTATGGAAAATAACATAACAACTATGCTTTCTGCTGCTTCTGAGCTGTATAACTAACGAGAGTGTGTGACTCCGTGTTTCATCATGTGTAGGCTGTCTTACTCTGAGTGAAGCGGGGAGGGTTGTCGTTGACATCAGTGAGGGTGATGTTAACCGCGGTGGTCCCAGTGAGACCCCCCCTCTGTCCGGCCATGTCCTTAGCCTCGATCACCACCTGGTAATGCTCCCTCTGCTCGCGGTCCATGTCACCAGGACCCAAAGCCGTCCGGATCACACCTGGACAAAGATAACATGCTGCTGATAACATGCTAACACAATCCTACATCATGGTAAACCTTATGCAACAATCAAATAAATCAGATTAAATTGTTTTTATTAAGGTAAGAATAAAATACGTTTACGGTTGTTATGAATTAACTTGACTGATTGGTCTGAAAGAGCCGTTAGTGTAAATAACGTGAGGATATAATAACAGTATGCTTATTACTACTTTTTCTTACAAGATAAAGTGGGTATAAATGGTTTTGGATAACTTTTGTAGCTAGTGCTCGCTGTCATTCTCACCACTCTACTGCTCTCACTTTGAGAAATACTGCCTTCATGGACAAATTATTTCTAATATACTTTCTTATTTTAAATCATAGCGAGGCTACTGTCACAAAAACGTCCTACAAAGGGTCCAATCCAATCCAACTAGCACATTTCAAATAAAAAAAAGATCTTTAAAATAAAGAAGAATTATATACAAATTGACTAAATCAAAATCAAAAAAGAAAATTCAGGTAGTACATCTACCTATAATATATTGATCTTTATTTAAAAAATGTATTGTAACGTTGTAATCATGCTAGACATTTCTATTTATTTTAAAGATGTACCAGTAATCTGATTAAGTATTTCCTATTGTAACTGTAACAGAATACGGTTGCCTTTTTCCTTTACTATATTAACTACCTAGAAGAAGACATACCTGTGGTAGGGTCCACAGAGAAGTAGGGGTGTCCCTGGCTGATGCTGTACACCAGCCTGGCGCTGCTCCCATACATACTGTCATCAGCATCTGTAGCTGTCACCTGGATGACTGATGTCCCTGAGAGATGCAAGTAGACATGTCATGACAAATATCCCCAGATCTGGGTCATCCCTGGGATTAATATTGAAGATCATTGAACTAACAAATTAAAGTCCAGTCAGTCGTGCTTACCGATATCGGACCTCTCCGGCACGCTGCCGGTGTAAAGCTCCTTGCTGAAGTGAGGCTCGTTGTCGTTGATGTCGTGCAGTTTGACGGTGAACTCGGTCTCCGGCTCCAGCTTCAGTCCAGTCCCTTTGTTCACCACGGTGGCTCTGAGGATGTAGAAACCCTTCTCCTCGCGATCCAGGCGGCGTGTGGCGTGTAGGTCCCCGTTGTTCTCATCGATGACAAAGATAGTGCCCGCCCCCTCGCCCGACAGCACGTACTTCACCAACCCATTTCCCTGGTCCTGGTCCGACTGGAGCTGCACATGGATACAGAGAGAGGAACGAGTTGAATGATCATCTGAATGCTTAAATGGTTCAGAAACACATTTTGGTCCTAACCTGATTTATCAACTTAGATTTATTTAGATCTGTCTTATGAAGCTTAGCGCAAGTTCAACCAGGAAGACCATCTTTACTCATTCATTCAAATATTCCCAGTTTACTACTCTCTCTCCTCTCAGTGATCGGGGGCGTCACTTCGCCTCTATTCCCACAAGCCTATCATAGTGCATTGCTAAACCTTTAAATCTGCTCTCCCCCCTTCCTCACAGTTGTCATTACAGGTGACTCAACGCAGCCCTCCTCCACCCCTTCCGCCTCCCTCTCTTCCAAATCCAGGGTCCGGCTTAAACCACTCCTCTTCAGACCGATCTCCATCAATCCCTTCATGCCTCCACCACCACCAGTGTCTAGACCCCGAACCTGAATGATATTCCTGCACAACGTGCACAACGTGCTTGTGGTTATAAATTACCTAGAGGGCCGTATCAAATGCTCTCGCGGGCCGTATACGGCTCGGGGGCCAGGTTGGTTCCCCACCCCTGCATTACATTAATGCACATCATGTGAGCAAATACTCTTCTTTTTAATACTGTGATCCCTCTGAATATTTTGCACATCTCTGTATAACACTGCTTCTTTTAGAATCTATCCCAGCTCTCCACTAAAATATCAAATAAACTTTACGTCATATATTCACTAGAATATAAAGTATTTTTCAATACCATTTTTATATTTGCGGAGGGCACAAAACTTTGGATTCATGAAGGCTTGTAATAAGCAGGAAAACGTGCAGCCATTAATGAAGAGAACACCGAAGGTTCAAGATTACTATGCTTATTGTTGGGATCATGATCACACAGTCCGTGTTTTTTTCATTAATGACTGCCTTGCTGCACTATCGCTTACTTATCATCATACACCTTTTTCCACTTCTACCCTCAGCAGTTTGATAGCATTCAAATTCCTCAGTGTACTGAGATCAATCAATGCATACATGTGCAGTAACTCTGAACATTTTCCATTATCAAAACCCCCATTAGCATCCCTTTTGTGTTTTTTTTGTTTTGTAAATGTAAACTCTCTAACAGGCAGTAGATTGTTCTGTATATGCACAGAGTTGGTGGTACATGGACGGAAGGGAAAAGGCCAGAGGAGGAAGGTGACATGTTTATATAAGACAGAAGCAAAGAAGATACAAACACAAAAGAAAGACCAAGAGTCAGCTCAAGACTGAAAAACAAAACAGAAATCTTCTGAAGGCAAAAAGCTGCAAATGAAGAGAGAAGCAGAGAGTGTGTGTTGTGCCTGGAGGAGTAAACATCTATGGGATGTGTGCTGAGATGGGCTGCTCTCGCTGTGATACCTGCGGCAAGAAGCTGCTTCTCTGCCTCTGTCTTTGTCTGCATCTCTCCACCTCAAGTGGCTCGATGTTCACCTTACATCCCTGCATCCCTGCTTCACTCCTCCAGGCCAGGTGTTGGGGTGAAGCCTTTGATTATATGTGTGTGTGTGTGTGTGTGTGTGTGTGTGTGTGTGTGTGTGTGTGTGTGTGTGTGTGTGTGTGTGTGTGTGTGTGTGTGTGTGTGTGTGTGTGTGTGTTTGGCTGAAATATGTTACAGCATTACTAAGTCTAAAACTGTTCCAATACAATATTTCGTATAGCAATATGTGATCCGCTCTATCGAAATCAGTCGGCTCATTTAAAAATAGACATGGATTTGCGTAAAAAAATTGTTTTTTGGGGTTCAGGTGTTTTGTTTGATTTTAAAGGCGACCTATCATGCAAAATTCACCTTTGTACTTCTTTTATACATGAATATGTGTCCCCGGTGTGTCAGGGAACACACCAAGTTTCAGAAAACACAACCCTCTCTCTTTTCCTCCATACCCAAATCTCTAAAAACGGGGCTTCAACGGATCTGATACAGACTGATACAGATTTGAAATTGGCCTAACGTCAGAAACAGTGAGCTCCGCCTATATGGGCAACTCTCCACCTATCAGGGGAATGAGAGGTTGCGTGGCATGGTAACAGCATGGTAACATGAACCTCGTGCCTCGTCCCCCTCCTTTGCAGGGGGGCGCGGTCAGCTGCAGCTCATTTGCCACAGAATCAGCCCTTGTGAAAACAGGGCTGGAATAGATAGAGCAAATAGAGCGAAATGAGGCATGGCTAAAATGCATGATCTGTTTGGTATTTTGAAAAAAAAACTTCACAGACATGTTTTGTATAGGTATGGCCCTACAATATATGTTTCAAATAATAGCATGATAGGTCCACTTTAAATAAACAAAGTCTTGGCTTTCAGAATATGAAACTTTTATTTCCAAAATCACACGATAAATACATTTTTGAAGCTTGTCAGCTCTCCCCTCGCACCCTGCTCTTCCGCAGCGCTGCTTCCCCTCCCTCCGGCTGAAATTATTAATGTAAGGTGTATAGTAATCATAGATAACACAGCAGGGTTCGTTACATTTTGTTTTCATCTGATTTCAATTAAACAAAGTCTTGGCTTTCAGAATGTTAAACTTGTTTCGGCAAATTCAGATGATAAATACAACTTTGAAGCTTGTAACGGCATAATTACAAGGGGAGAACGGAGTAACTTAACGTCCCAGCAGGCATAACAACAGCCGGTGTTTCTCGTGAGTGTTTTCCCCGGGAACCTAACACAATACACACAAACGCAAAAATACACAAACACACACACACACAGGGTATATGCAGGAATCCTGAGGTCAAATTTAATACCTTTTAAGACCTTTTTTAAGACCCTTTCCATACATTTTAAGACCTCATCGCAACTTTGAGTTCTAACCGGTTACATT